GAACCCTGAAAGCTACAACTACAGCTCCAGTGACTGTACAGGAAACTCAGGGAGGCAGTCCAGCCTGGCCAGGGTGTCGGGAAGGCAGCTGCCCTTTCCTGGTATCCAGCAGCTCCATCCACACCCAAATACCTCATCTTCAGGCTCAAATTCGTTGAAACAAAGCACAGTCACCAGACACAGGCACACCAAACACCTGGTTTCTGCAAGGCAAGTGTTTTATTTGAGAAGAAGTTTAAGTTCACAGCAGTGTAATACAGGTGGGTTTGTTCACATCCATAAACCCCAGTGCACATGCACTCTGCTCTTTCCCAAACCTGGATCTTCCAGCCATCAGCTACAATTCCAGCTGTGTCCTAACTCTACTATTCCACTTTTCCACTGTTCCAGTTCTATTAAGTTTTATAACCAGCTGTGACAGATTCCCCCGATTCGAAGGAAGTAACAATTTTTCCCTATTTGTACCCTATTTACAGAGAACAAAGTGCATTGTTTTAAACTGCACCAACTACAACATCGAACTTTAAACTTTATGAAAGCTTCATAGCACAGCCATTTAAAGTGCAAAAAAGTCTAAACATATTCTAGCATTTTGAATATTATATTTTAGTACTTGTCACGACAACAGTCAGAAGCCTAAATAGTGAGGTCATTCTTAGCCAAATCTTATAACTCACATAAATATTTGTGGAACTGCACTTACTTTTACTTTCTTTACCACTTTCTCCCATTAAAACCCCCCAGATTCACTAATGTACTCTAGCTCACATCGTAACCACTGTCTTTGCTGGACAGTTTTCTCCCCAAATTCCCACTGCCCACATTTTCTGTAAAAATAAAGCAGTGAGGGGCAATAAAACCCTTACAAAGCCAGTGGATTTGACACTGTTCCTTCCATAACCCAGCAGGGGCACAACAGACCAGCTTTGCCCACTGCACCTCATCTTCTAAAACTGAAAATACATCAAGCACTGACCAGCCCAGCAGCCACAGGTGCTTCTTGTCACCAAAATATGGAGCTCCCCTCCCACATTTTGCTGTCTTTTTACAAAGTTATTTAAATATGTTACTATTGTAGTACAACACACTGAAATATCACACTAAACCTATGAAATGTTATCAAACTCGGGTGCCAACAACCCACTTCTGATCATACAGTTAATTACCAAGGAACTAGACATCCTTTTTCAGGAAATACCACTGGAATTTCAGTTCTCACAGCAAGAGAAAAACAAAAGCCTGAGAGTAAATTACATTAAATATTAGAAATATTATTAATTACATATGTTTGCAAGTGCAGCCAAAGGGCCTCGTCTGCTCCTTAAATCAAAAAGAGAATGTTTTCAGATTCACAGAATCTGATTGGAACTTTGGATTAGGACAATTGGCATGGGGAAGGAAAGGAAAAGGGAAGACTACAGAAATATTCATGGGAAAAGGGACAGGAACACAGACAGAAAAGCAAACAGAACAGTAAGGAACTCATTGTTACTTCCAGCACCACAGTCCCACAACTGTAGCTCTCCATAACAAACTGCTGATGGAGCAGCAGGAGTGGGAAGATGCTGCTGTGGAACAACTGGGGGAAAACAGCAGCTGTGAGGTGAGAGAGCAGAGTCAGGCTGACTGTCCTGCTGACTGTCTGTCCTGCTGACTGTCCTGCTGACTGTCCTGCTGACTGTCCTGCTGCTTTTACAACCCAGTGGGGCATCCACAAACAGTACAGCCCTTTCCTTCAGCAGGGGAGGAATCTGTGCTGGGAAACTAGTGCCCAAGTTAAAAATTACACAATTGCTCTTAATTAGTGAGGCTCAGAAGTGCATTAAGCCTATTCCATGTCAGGTGTTTCACCACCAATTCCGAGTTTGTGGTACTTTGGATGAGCAGGGGCTGCCCATTCCTAAGAGAATACGTTGGAATTTCTCAAACCTACCTGGTTACTTCAGGAGTTTTCTCATCATGTTTAGGGTAGAGCCCCTGTACCCCGTCCCGAAATGGTTCCAGTGGTTTATGTAATTAAAGAGCTGATACAGCTTGTTTCGTTTGTCAAATCCTGGAGCTTTGGGTATCTTGCTGTGATAGGCAGAGAAAAAAGAGCTGCTGAAGCCCCCAAACATCCCGGCAATGGCCAGTTCGAACTCCGAGTGGCCGTAGAAAGAGGCGGGGTCAAAGATAATGGGCCCGGAGTCGTCCTCAGCCACATTCCCCGCCCACAGGTCCCCGTGCAGGAGAGAGGGGACAATTTCCACATCACAGAACATTTCAGGAATCTTTGGCTGAAAAAGGACAAGCAGGCAACAGTTAAAGAGTTATGAAGAAAATATTACATAAAATAAAGTACTGTAGGATGTAAGAGTCTGAGCTGGTCAAATGCTGCCCCCATGGAGTGCCTGGGAAGTTGATGGCTACAAGCACAAACCTGAACTGCCAGTAATAAATGTTCTGGGTTTGTTCTTGACAGAGCTTAGCAAAGTATTTATCACAGTCTAGTACCAACACCTAATACTAATGTATTATTTCTACACGTGGATAGTGTTGGCTGTCAGAGAAATATAAAATAAATGTCGTTTAAATTAAAACATTTCAGTGGCAAAAATGGCAGCAGTAAAACATCTACACCACTGAAGCAGAATTAAAGAATAAATTTGTGACGTGGAGCTTGCAGAGGAACACATCCCTGGTGTTCCCTGAGTGCTGCATGGAGTGTGGCCTGACCCAGCCTGGCTGTGAACCTGGACCATGTAAAAAAAACCTGTCCAGGCAGAAGAATCTCACCCAGTTCGTAACACCAAGCTCTTAGATTGGATTTAGCATCTTATCATTATCAGAAATAAATGTCAGTACTGAATTACAGGTTTATTTTCACTATCTATAAAAAATGAAAGAGCAACAGGAATCCTGTCCAGCTGACAGTGTTGTTGGACCCACTGTCCACTCACCACTGCTCATGCTAAGCAAGGTAAATCTCTTATAAAACACCTTTACAAACCCACTGATGCACATTTTCTGACGTTCTAAACAACAGATTTAAGACATGGTTCATACTTTCAGCTGTGACCAAAGTTCTCTGGCTTCTCTGTCCCCATAATCCCTTTCAATCATATCCAGCTGAGCCTGGAGTCGGTGGCGGATGAAGAAGGATGGCCAGTCACTCTGCCACTCATTCACCTGGAAAATCCAGCACAGAGGTTTGTGACACCCAATTTTAATACATGTGCAGTCAGAGCTGATAATAGCTACAGATCCATGTTTGATGATCACACAATGGCCTGGACCATGTCAGTGTGACCAATGCACAGTGTCCTGAGGTGCTCTGTTGGTTGTTCTTTTGGGAATGCTGCTCTCTCCCACACTTAGGTGGGGCTCTCTTTAACATGAGACAGAAGTTGAGGTTCTGGCTATTTTCATACAGTCCCATTTTCTTAATGTATTTTAGAAGGGCACTTCCTGGTAAGATCACGTCTGTTGTTCCATATCATGTTTCAAACCTTTCCAGAAATGCAGAAATATTTGTTCATTTTTACCGGGTAACTCGTTTCTAATTTGGTGAAAAGTTGTATTTAGCAAAGAGTTTGAGATATTGAAAGTTCAATCAGTTAAGTCATAGAATGAAATCCTGGCATGTGCAGAGCCAGAAAATGGTGGAATTATCTCTGAGAGCCCTTTCCATGTCTTATGTGACGTGTTACATGACGAGGCTCTCCTAAAGCAGTGGGGTTTGCCATTTGAGATCCATATAGCAGGGGGTGAATAAAAACAAAATCAAGGCATGGTGTGGGAAGGGACACTGATTTGATTGAGTATCACCAAGCTGAAGAGCCACCCCATCATTTCAAATTCTCACTCCATCCACCATGTGCTGGCCACATGCTCTGCACCAAGGCACACGTGTTGGACAGTCCTTGTGTTCCCCTGGGCAGGATGGAACAGGGAAAGCAAAGCTGGAGGCCAATGGAACAAGGAGTTTCCAGACCTATCCAAGTGCCTGTCAGCTCTCCCAGCCATGGAATGTACCATACCTGTGCTATGTAACCACAGCAGGTGGCTGTGTGGAATCCAAACTTATCCACGTACTGGGACTCAGAGTGACCGGCTCCTTTTCCTACAAAATAAAATAAATATTAGGGGCTCTTACATGGTGAAGTTTGCAAACACAGACCTTAATTTCAGGGAATAGGCAGACAAAATAACTTTAAGCAGGACAGGAGGGACATAGCTCACAAAACTGTTCCATTATTGACTTCAATTATCATTAAAATTATAATGCAACACTGCACCACAGCCAAAGGAATTGCTCCCTTTTTGGTTTAGTACATGACATCAATACTCTACCAATTGTGCTTCCCTCACTCCTCAGCTTCTCTCCAAGTTTCCTGTTATAAAGATGAAGCTCTGCTATCTGCTCTCCCAGCTTTGAGGAATATCTGTAAGATCAAGAAAAGCAAAATTAAACTGGAAGTAGACAAGTAACAGGGGAAAAAAACCCCTCAATTAAAAACCCCCCAAATAAATAAGGATATTTTTGGCAAACATAGAACCTTAATCAACTTCACAAGCACATAACAGGCAAATGACTTAACAACAGCCCTGAAGACACAGGCTGTAACAGATAATAAAATGGACATAAGTCAATGTTCTTGCAAGAAAGGTAAATAGAGCACAAGGTGGTATAAACAGGAGCAGAGAGGGCAAAAGAATCAGGGGCTCTTCCTTATCAGCCCCACTATCAGCTGAGGACAGAACATGGTACCAACTATTGGGCTTTATCCTTCCAGATCAGCTGAACAGCAGTGGGAATGGTAAATCTGGAAAGAAGCCAAAGGCAGGGACTGAGTCAAGGTTGCTTAATGCTGAAGACAGACAACTAAAATCCAGTTAAATATTCCACAGGTCCCTTAACAGCAGCTGCAGGGATGCCAACTAACTTCTTCTAATGCCCAGAATAGGGAGAAAATAATGGGTTTAAAATCACGGTCAAGAGGACTGAGGACAGACTTTGGAAAATCCTTCCTAGGAACAGTGGGATGGATTGGAATGGACTATTTGAGGAGGCTGTGGAATTGCCAGTATTGTCCCAATAAAAATATACAGGCTGGACAAACAGCTGCCAGAAGAGGCATGACAGTGTTCCCAATACGGGCCCAGGATGCATCAGTGAACTCCTGAAACCCTGTTTTCAAGAACATGTGACCCCTGAATTCCATGTTCAGGTTGGCTGACAGATGAAATGGAACTTCATGTCATCTTAACTTAATCATGATTTAAATCATACTGGAAGATTCTACTGAGAGAAAAGACCTGAGCAGCCTGGAGGGTTAAAGAAACCTGATGAGCTGGGAAAAGAAACTCCATGAAAAATCTCATGAGAGAAAAATGGACCAAAATCATCTGTAACAAACGCAGATGTCGACAGAGAGAAGCTCCACCTGTGAGAGATCAGAGCAACTCTGCTCATGAAGTTTTCTGACTGACTGCAAGACATACAAAAACATACCCCAAAACACAGTACAAAGAGATGTATGGACATACTTGCTGAGGTGCTTCATCTTCAGGTACTCCATGGCAAACATTGCTCCTCCTCCAGGCAGGTCAATCACTTTAATGGGCTGAGGAACTCTCACAGTCTTGGTTTTCTGGATCGCTTCCAAACTTGCCATTTCCCCTTCAAACATTGTTCTAGCCTGTCAAGGAATAAGAATATCCCTGGGCTAAACTATGGATGTCTGCAATGAGTTACTTTGGAAAACAACAACCCCTTTACAGACTGAAAAGGAGTTAATTCCTCTTCATAAAAGGACAGAGCTGCAGCAAGGCTTCAGTTCACACAGGGAGACTTGAGTGCCTTAATCCTAACTTCTTTTCTTTCCTAAATTCATTCCAGAGTAGTAGGATACGTCACATTTCACCCTGATTTCCAGCTGCTTATGGAAACACCAAACTACTTGGATATAACAGCACCTCTGAGGATAATGCCCAAGACCTACTCCTCCAAAACCCCAAGTAGCCACTGCTAAATGAGGTAAAAGACTGAACCCTTAAACTGGTTTTCCTTTCCCCAAGGTCAACAGCCACTGATGGGGATGAGAGCACTCAGCCTGTGCTTTGTGGTTTTGAAGCAAAGCTGCTGTTCTTCACAGCAGTTTAGGATGGTTTTGATATTGATAATGCAAATTTCTGATGCACTGCGGTGTTAGAAAGAGCAATTGAGTATTCATTTAGTAATAGAAAAGTCACAGAGTTTGGCCTGAAGAATTTTACTTCTGGAAATGCAAAAAGCAACGGGGACGTTTGAACCCCCTGTAGCTTTAAAGATAATACGTGAGTTTTAGCACTGGCCCCTGTTTGCTCCCTCCCACTATTGATCCTCCCAGCTGGAACATGGAAAAGAGCACAGCGAATGCAAAGTCAGCTCTGGGCTTTTCCAAACTCCAAGCACCACAATGACAGCTTTGTGCGTGGCCTCCTTTTTGCAGGAATTGCCACGAGGGTGAGGGTTATCACGTCGCACTACACTGCATTTCACACTAACCAAACCTGCTGCACTAATACTGGATATAAAACAGATACAGCTTTTAAAAGATCACTGAAAGCTGGAATAATTAAAAGTCAGCCTGAAAGTGCAAAACTCCGAATTGTTTACAATGAAAACCTCTCTACAATGCAACCATAGGAGCAGTCAAAGATCTGCTGGCACTGACCTGAGGTTTGTGGTTGATTTTGACGAACACCCGCCCTCTGTCTGTCTCATACGTTTGGCCCTGGCTGATACATCCTCCCCCCGAGCTGCCCACGGCCTTCAGAATGTTGGTGTTCAGCTCTGCCTTCAGGATTTTCTCCATGGTCATTCCCGGGCTGCTGCAGCCGCTCTCCTGTTAAACCTGCTGCGAAACAGGATTAAAGGTCTGGGTCCTTCTGTCACCGTCACTCTGAGGCAGGAAGGGCCCACCCACCACGGGAAAAATAAATGAGCGGCTAAAAAAATTAGCGAATCCAAGCAGAACGTTTCAAAACGCTTTCCTCGCCGTGGGCTTTTATGGCTATACGCGAAAAGCAAAGATCTTTAGAAACGTTTGAAGAATAAAGCGGAGAGGTTTATTCTAGGAGAGGTGGGTCCTGGGCCCTCTCAGCGGTGCCGGAGCTGCTGGTATTTGTAGTTTGGAGCCGCTCTAAAGCTCCGGGATCGCCTGTGGAAGGACCATTTTAGGCCAATCCACTAGAGGGAGGCTGAAGGCAACCTCAGGAATGGCCACGGGCGCTGGGCCGGGGGGATGCGGTGCGAAATCCACAGCTGCGCCTCAAAAGGGTGTGATTAAATCGCTGGTCCGCCGGGCAGGGAGGGAGGAGGAGGAGGAGGATGAGCCGGGCAGGGACCCGGCGAGAGACACGGTGGGGTCTGTCCCCGCTATGAAGGGGGGCTGTGCCCGCTGTCATGAGGGTCCGTCCCCGCTGTGATGTGAGGGCTGTGAGGGAGGGCTGTCCCTGGTCTGAGGGCTTGTCCCCACTGTGATGAGGGTCTGTCGTTCATCACAGTGTGATGGGAGGGTGTCCCCACAGCGATGGGGGGCTGTCTCTGCTGTGAGGGGGAGTCTGTAGCCGGTGTGAGGAGCTTCTGCCCCGCTGTGATGAGGATCCGTCCCCGGTGTGATGGAGGGCTGTCCCTACTATGATGAGGGGTCTGTCCCCGGTGTGAGGGAGGTCTGTCTCCATTGTGAGGGAGGGTCTGTCCCTGGTGTGAGAGGGGTCTGTCCCCACTATGATGAGGGGTCTGTCCCCACTGTGAAGGGTGGTCTGTCCCCATTGTGAGGGGGTCTGTGCCTGCAGGGCTGGGAGGCAGCAGCTGCTCCACACCCACCCGTGCACAAGCGCCCTGTGGCCCTCTGGACTCACAGCATCCAGACCAGAATTTTATATCTATATAGAAATATATCTATAATACCCAGACCATATTAAAAGTGCTTCTCAGGTTCTCAACTGCTAAATTAGCGCATCAGGAATTAGACCGACAGATGACAACATCTGCCTCTGCCGGTTCCTGCTGGTTTCTGCGGCTCCCTGGCAGCACCAAGGCACGAGAAGGGCTGGACTTTGCTGCACGGACTTTTCAGAAAGGAGGAGGAATTACCCAGGTGTAAAACCCCACACAGGTGATTCCGTGTGCCACACTGACTGTGGAGCTTAAGTTTAAGCAAAATGTTTTAATACACAGAATGTATCGATGAAGGTGATCGGATTTCTCTTCCTAAGCGTTTATTTTTCTGTTGTCATCAGTGAGTAGAGGGAAATGCTAATAAAAATGCTGTTCTAGTGGAGGATCATTAAACAGCAAAGGTGTTCGTTGTGAAACTGCTCTCAGTGAAAGAGTAGAAAAGGAGATGTTTTTCTCCCTTTCTTTCACTGCCATGTTCATAACATCAGAATATTCGTCCTTTAAGTTCAAGGTTCATGTTTGTGGTGTATTCTCTCACTTGATGTTTTTAAAGGGCAACACTGAAGAGCCTCATCCATACAAATATATTCTGCCTGCAGAACATTGCAGACGGATTTAAAACTGAGCTAATGGATCTGGGAAAAGGGGATTTAAGTTACCTTTCCTTTCCATCCTCCTCTTTTCACTCCCCTGGTCATGTTTGCCTAGAATATTCTCTAGTTTCACTTTTTTTTCCCCCCTCATGCAAAACTATCATGTGTCATAGTAGAAAGCAAATTATCTTGTCGAATTACCCGTTGCTTTAATTCACTGCCAGACTGGGACCAGTTAATTCACTGGAAGGCTTGACCTTGACTTATGGTGCTGATTCCTCAGAAAGAACTGGAGGGAGGGAGGGGAGTTCTCTGTACCGCTGCATATACCAGCAAGGTATACAGCACATACCCAGTAAGGTTTTGACCTATTACTGTATGTAATCAATTTGATAAAGGTTTAGGTGTGTTACTTAATACTTTGGGGAATTGTGGGTTAAATACTTATTTTTCTGTGAAAAACATATTAATTACATTTTATACCACTCTGCAAGAAAGTTCCAGGAGAAAAATGCCAAAGACAGTGTGGTAAAAGGAAAATGATTTGAAGAACACTATTTAAAAACTAAATAAATGAATGTTTCTGGAAAACAAATCCTTTCTTTAGAATAACTCACACCAAGTGTTCCATGTGTGAAGGGATCGTGTGACTCCTTCTCCTCAGGAACAACAATCCTTTGGAGCAGCTTCATCCCATTGTTGTCTTCCTATTGTTGTCTTCACTGCTGAGACACCACCAAGTTTCATGTCTGTGATGTTCCTCCTGGACCACAGATCTGTGAGTGTGGGAAGTCCAGCCAGTAAAATGCCAAAGTGATGCCAGGACCTGGAGCAATTAATGCATCAGCACTTAGAGAGAAGTGCCATCAGAACAAGTGTGCTCACAGTTACAGCCTAAATGGCAAAGCAAAGTGCAGCTGGAAGGAATTCCTGTGGGATCAAGCCCTGGGTGATCAGCAGGCTCCACCTCCTGGGCTGCCTGTGCTGGAATATTGAAACTACATCTCCAAACCCTAAGAACATGCCCAGAGCAGCTCCCAGGGGTTACACCTGAGTCTGAGACATCTAGACTTTGGGAGTGCTCTGGCTGTTTGCCTGGTGTCCGGGAGCAGGATGGAATTCTGTCCCTTGCATGCTGCTACTCGAGTTTATTTCTTCCAAATTATAATCTTGGCCTCCTCAGTCACCAGGCAGTGGTTTGGGCCCTCTCTGTGTGTGATGTGCAGGAAGAATGCCTGGCTGGAGGGAGCATTATGGATATGTGTGTGTCCCCAAGGGCAGAGTCTGTCCCTCCTGCCAGCCAGGATAAAGATGAGGTATAAAGGCTGGAGCAGCACTGCTCACTCCAGGCAACTCCTGCAGCAATCCCACATGGAGTACGGAAAGCCTGGGGCTGCAGCTGGACAGGGGAACATTTAAAAAAACCAAAGAGGGGCTTGTTGGTTCATACACCCAGTCTCTTGGCTGCCTGAGGAGACAAAGTCTTGTAAAGATGCAGTGTGATTATTGTATTTTATATATAGAAAAAATACTGTCACAGCTTGTCAGTGCAGAGCTCCAGGGCTGAGAGCTGAGGTCAATTCCCAACAGAGCCGGTCACAAACTGAGATACAACGTCAGGCACTGCCGGAGAAGGCACAGAAGGAGCACGGGAAGGAGGGGACACACCCGAGGGGTGGGGAATGGTTGGTGTTGGGGTGAGAACGCCCAGGCTGTGCTTCAGCTCATCCTACAGCCATGGAATAACTCCGATTGGAAGGGTCCTCCCCAGGCTGCCGGGTCTATTGTCTTGCTTGGAGTAAAATTCCTCCTGAACTCCACGCGGGGTGCTCAGGGCCTCGGGTGCTGAGAACTTCCACGTTTCCGAGGCGCATTTGTGGCGTCGGTGGTTGGGTCTGGGGTTTGGTTGGGTCTGAGGTTTTGTCAAGTCAGGGCATCCCAATTTCAGCGCGTTCCTACTGCAATTCTTCCGCTTTCACTCGTTTGATGGGAGAGTTTTCTACCAAACAGTCCTCCGGAGCTGGGAGGGGCCCGGGGGCTGCCCTGGGCCACCCATCCTCCCCTCTGACCCAGCGGTCACTCCTGGTCACTCCGGTCACTCCCGGTCCGTCCCCACCGCTCCCACCGCCATTCCCGCGCCGCTCGACTGCTCGGCGCTCCTCCGCGGGCGGGTGGATGCGCTCGGCGCTCGGCAGCGCCGCCTGCCGGGGCCGGAAGCAGCGTCCGGTCTGAGGCTGGGCCCGGCTCAGGCGGGCTCGGCTGGACTCGGCTCGGCTGGACTCGGCTCGGCTGGACTCGGACTCGGCCCAGCTCGGCCCGGCCCAGCTCGGTTCGGGCGGGCCCGCGGCGCCACCATGGTGTAAGGGGCGGCGGGCGGGGGCGAAGGGGCCGAGCCGGAGCCATGAACCTGCTCCCGGCCAACCCGCACGGCAACGGGCTGCTGTACGCCGGCTTCAACCAGGACCACGGTGAGGCGGGGCCGGGCCGGGGCTGCGGGCACGGGCGGCTGCGGGGACCGCCCGGGGTCGGGCTGAGGCCGGGGCGCCTCCCAGCAGCGGGCAGTGACCGGGGCTCGTCGGTGCCGGGTCCCGCTCGCCCCCCGGGGCTGCGGCGGGAGCGGCGGACGGAGCCGGGGAGGCCGGAGAATTTAATGGTTGTCCCGTTGTTTTGGCTCTGGCGCGGCCGTGTGAGCGCCCAGAGATGGGTGGGTGGGTGAGGGAGAGCACAAGGACAGGATTGTTGGGGCTGGTTGTGCTCGGCTGCCCCCGGAGTGTCGGAGCCTGAGCTCGGGGGTTGTTTGGGACTTGGATCTCTGAAAGGCGACTCAGAATGGCCTTTCCTCTGTGTGAGTACTTGACATTCAAACCCAGGGGTGTCACCGATTTTTCCTTTCTTTTTGCCTGCTTTGCATTTTAAAAGTCGTGGTTAACACTACTAATCACACTCAGGCAAGCACAGATGCATGTCCTGCTGCAAATCCCCACTGCATCCCTTTTCCCTGTGTTAGGGAAGGGAAGGCCTGCTCCAGAAAGGGGTGGCAGGTGCCTCATCTCTGCTTTTGCAAGACACAAATAGCACCAGCCTGATGAGTACGTGTCATTTTGGTGGAATAAGGAATAGAAGCTCATCATTTTGTAACATCCTTTTGCCTTAACAAATATTACTCTTGCCTAAGACAGTCTTGAAGCTTCTGTCATAGACTGCAGCTCTTTTACTTGTTGCTGACACTGTTGAAGTCGTGTGTAAACAGGAATTATTGTGTTGATTTTAGTCAAACACCTCTGGTCACATCTTGGCAGGAGCACATCAAGCTGGTGATGAGGTGTTAGTGTCTTTGCAGCTCTCTAAATGCTACTCCATTGACTTGAAAAGAACAGAACAGCCTGATTTTCAGCAGCTCTTGTCTTTGCAACAGAGATGGAAAAAGATTTTTGAGGATGAGCTGAATTTCAAATCTGCAGGGTCTGTAACAGAGTGGTGATATTTGGTGCTTGAGCTGTGATGGAACCGGGTTATACAGAGAGCTGTGTAAGAGAAAAATGCCTTTAGATCATTGTTTTAGTGTAAAACTTGATTGTTGCAAAGGCTTCCATAAATTTTGTAGCACTAGATGCAAAATAACCCCTTCTTTTTCTGAATAGACACATCCAAAGTACCATGAGGAATTTGTCTTGGGAATCTGAGAGCTGGCAGTGTTCACATCCCATCCAACCTCCCCTGGCCAGGCAATTGAGGGACAGTAAAAAACTTGAATTAAAAACACATTTGGCTTCCATTTGGCAGCTCCTGGAGCTGTTCCTGGTAGGAATGACGACGTTGGCACTGCAGGTGTCACACTGACACTTTATTAGTTTAGGGCAGGTGATGTTTGGAGAGCAGGGAGGAGGGAAAGCTCCTGCTTCCTTCTCCTTGCCAGGAATAGAACATGAGTCACTGGAGTGCTGGGGCTCACTCTGTGGGTGTCTCATGGATTGTCACAATAACCTAATTCCTTACCAATTTAACACTGGCCAATCCCACGAGGATGGGAGAGCAGGAGGAACCATCTGAGAAGTCTCTCGGGGCTTGAACCTCCCTGACAGAGCAGGGAGAAAGTTGCTCTGCCATGAGCCTCCCCCCTCCTGTTGGAGTGATGCCCTTTTTAGGTGGGGTGCCTTTGCCACTTTGGGGTTTTCAATTGAAACTGTAACACAAGGGAGTGGAAGGGCTTGTGGGTTGTGTGAGTACTCAGCCCGTGTGCTCCTGATTCCAGGCCCTTTTCCAATGCTTTCAGAGGACTAAAGTGCTTCTCAGAAATGAACAGACAAAACATCATCACAAGGGACCACCCCAGACAGTGCACCTGTAACTTGCTGACACTTTTCTCTTTTGTCACTGTGGCAGCCAAAAGCTGGTTTGAAAACTGAAGGGTGGGTTTGTTCTGTTGTTGAAACACGTGGCTGATGCATTTGCTCCTCTCCAGTGGGCTGGAAGGCTTCTCTGTAGGGCCCCCCAATGTTAGTAGGGCTCTGTGCTCTCTCTTGTGGCTTTGGACAACATTTGTTGTGCCAAGGAAAACCACCATGGCAGGAGCTTTGCCAGCTGTCATCGCTTCCCTGGGCTCCACTGCTGGACCTCAGACCCTGAATCCTGTGGGCTTCTCTGGGCCAAGGTACTGCCTTCAGCTTGTGGCATCTTCCAGGCTGGGCATTAATTTAACTCTTCTTTTTTCTGTGGATTTTGAGGAACAAAACTCCCTGTGGCCTCGCTGGCACTGCCAGCAGATATCACTTTGCTGAAGGAACGAGCACAGCTGCAGGTTGGGGCAATAACTCTGTAATAATGACATTTAAAAAAAGAAAATCTAAATTATCTTCTGTCAGTGGCACTTGGCCAGCACATCTGTCCCTTCCTGAGGTGGGAGGTCATCATCCATGGAAGGCAGTGAGCCTAAGGAAGTGTTGCCTCCTCTCAGCCCCCCCCAGCTCTCTCACAGAGAAGGGCTCACAAGCTGCAGCTGTCAAATTTGTGATCCCACTGGTAACACTGAGATCGGATGGGAATCCCTGAGCTCCAAAGCTGCTCCTGTAACCTGGGATTGAAGGAGGAGCAGGGATCTGCCTGTGTGTTTTTCTCTCCTGTTTGACTCAGGGGTTTCCGTGCCTGGGAGCTCCACATCTCTGTGGGTAGGGATGGAATCTCACCATTACTCACATCCCCACCTGCTGCTGGGTTGTCTCCCGTTAAAAATGGAGACATTCCCAAGGCACTAAAGCAGCCCACGCCTCAGTCATGAGCTGGGCCCTGCAGAAGCTGTAGAGGTGCTACGGGAAGGGTAAAGTCTGGGTGTGATTGCATCAGGAATGCTCCCTCTGGGTGGTTGGGAGCTGCTGGGATCAGCACAACTCCAGCCTTACAGTGCTCTCTTGCTACAGAGCAGCTTCAGCACCCTCCCCTTATCCTGGAAATACAACGTGGGGTTAGAAAACTGCTGCTGGAAAATGATTCTGTGGCTCAGCTGCCAGGAACAGCTCCTGTGCAGCTTTGCTTTATGCAGAGGGAAAGGTTTCCATTGCTGTTTGCTCCCTGGTTATCCCAGTAATGCCCTGCCCGGGGCAGCAGCTGGTTGAGCTGTGAGTTCAGAGCACCACACTCTGACAGGGCAGACCTGGGAGGGCACAAGGTGCAATGAGCAGGGGTCATGGAAAAGCCTATTTCAATATGGTTGTTAATCTTGCTGTAGTTATTATATTCTCATTAGCCACTCTCTGGGTGTGTTTATATATGTAAGGAACTTTAACCACTTAATTTATTACAACCTCTTGGACAGGGTGAAGCTGTACCTGGGAGTCCTTTGGGTTGAGGGAGTAGGTTTTTGTGGATTTTGTTTTCTTTCTCCACATGCTCTGGGATTTTGGGGGTATCAAGTTTGGGGAAGGGGTGTGTTTAGACAGAGCTCCTGTTTCTATTTGGGAGGTTCTAATCGTTGCAGTGCATAAGAATAGAACCAGAATAATTGGAACATCTGTTCAGTATCTCAAAGATCTTTAACTGGATTTTTGATACATTGCACACAAATTTTGTAGCAACCAACCTGCTGTCAGGCTGCTGCCAGTGACAGCAGCTGCTCCTTGGTGACTTGTCATTGCTCTGATTTCACACTGGCATTTCTTGGTACCAGTACCTGCATTCCCCCAGCAGGGGAAGGGCAGGACAGGAGACTGGTAGTTCAGTGGATTCCACTGAAGAGGCACGTGCATAATTCTGTAAGAAATTATTTTCCAGAGTGTTTTAATCTGGGAGTGTTTTAATCAGAGTGTTCTGGGTTGGACTTCAGCTACTGGCATGTCATGATTGGCATTAGCACAGTCTGAAAAGCTGTTTGAGAAGCTCTGTGCTCTGGAAACATCCACAGCAGAGTCATAATTGTGGGGTGAATTCAGATCTGTTGAGAAAGGAGAGGGTTTCCTTCATAATGACTGTTGGACCATAAACATTAAAATGCTGATTTCCTTCCCTCTGTAGCACATGGCATAGGATACAGGTGGGTTGGGAATAGGTTTCCTTTCCTTCCATTGTTTTCTTACCTGTCTGAAAACAATACCGAGACCTTTGCACCAGGCCAGAGAACAACTCCTGAAGGGCTTTCACTTGCATCACTAACAGAGCCTGTGAGTGCTTGAGTGTAACAATGCAGTTGTCAGTAATGCTCTCCTAACCCTCTGGCTCTTGCTTCCTTCTCGAGTGTACCTGGCAATTACTATATATATGTGTATATACATGTGCTTTTTACCACAGGATGCTTTGCATGTGGAATGGAAAATGGATTCCGAGTTTATAATGCAGATCCTCTCAAAGAAAAAGAGAAACAAGGTAAAGCACTTCCTTACTCCACCGTGCTGCTCTGGTTGGAAGCTCAGCCTCCTCCTTTTTTTTGTGACTGGTTCTTGCTCAGCTTTCACTGCTCCATCCCTGGAAAGCTTTGGATAAAGCCCCAGGAAGGGCAGCTCCTGCCCCACAGGGGCTCTCACTCGTGCCACTGCTCAGTCAGATGTCTCAGTGCTGTTAATTTGCACAACTGGCTGACGAGGGATTTGTCTCACCTATAACAGACTTGAGTTGGCTCTTGCTGATGTTTGTAGCCCTGAGGAGGAGAGGAGTTGGTTATCCCTGAGCAGGAGTCACTCCCTGCAGCAGTCATGCACCATCAGTAGTTGTTCCTTTCTCCTGTGGTGATCTGGATGATCCAGTGTGGCAGTAAAACTCCAGCCCTTTTCCTGGAGATCTGAGCATAACATTTCTCATACCCACAGTATTGTCTGCACTGAGAGCTCTAATACTCTACATCCTGCCTTCTCTGGATGCCTAAAAAATCTGGGAGGATCTTAATGCAGTAAAGCTACTCCCTCATGTTTGAACAGAAATCAGTAGATGAACTGTATTAACAGTGGGGCTTTTTTATCAGAAAGCAAACAAACCCAAGTCAAAATAGGGGAAACTGAAACCCAGCCGTGTGATTCTAACCCTAAATATAGAAGTGAGTTGCTAAACAGGTTTCCCAGCACTTCCAGCCTGTGGTGATAAAAGGGATTTAATAAGAGGAAAAATGTACTTAAATAAGCAATTCCTATGAAACCAGGCACACTTTCACTTTCTACTGCTGTAAAGGATTTTAGTCACTGTTCACGTGGCCAAAACTATTTTCTGCTCTGAACAGTAAATTCTTCCATAAGCAACATGCCTTGGGACTGTCACCTGTGACAGTGTGCTCAAAGGATCAGGACTCAGCCTGGAGTCCTGTGGAGTGCCTTGTCAAAACTCTCCCTGCCAGTAGCTCTGGATGGAGATAATTCCAGGACTCCTGTGGTGAAAAGTTTCTTATGAGTCAGATTGCTTTTTCCCTGTGGATTCTGAGCACTCCCACTGAACTGGCTGTGTAGGTACACACAGAGATCCTGTTCATCATTCCTGTAGATTTAAACCTGCCTGAGATGGTCCCAGCTGGAGTTGTCTATTTGATTGTTCTCTGTAACCCAACATGAAACCAAGTCTTAACTGTTGCAACCCCCTACATCCAGGAGTTCCATGATGTTCCCATCCAAGCATTGCCCCTCAGAACTGTGCAGATAATCATTCAGTGCTCTAACACAGATTCAGGACACATTGCACGCTCTCAAACTGTCCCACGTTATCACCTGTAAATATTTTAGGCCTTTTTGTCATGATGATAATCCCTTTTCATAGCAAAATGTGCCATCCTGCTTCAAATGCTTTATGGAGTCAAGAGGAGGATGTGGTGCAGAAGGGGGTAGTGTCCAAAACTCTTCAGGAAGGAAATACAGCACTCAGAAGTGCTGTTAAAGAAACCACAAGGGCTTATATGAAATCCAGGACTTTACTGCTCCAGTGTGAGGAACTTTCTTGGAATTTACCTCCTCTGGTTTTGAAGGGCAGCCAGGGTAGGAAGATGCTGTTCTTCTCAGGTGCCTGGGAGATGTGCTGGATAATATGAGCTTTTCTTGTAACAGAAGTAAAAACTAGATGGCCTTTTAACAGGTTCTGACGCTTCTAAATAAAATATTTGTCTTCCAGAGTTTGTAGAAGGTGGCGTTGGCCATGTGGAAATGTTGTTTCGTTGCAACTATTTAGCACTGGTGGGTGGAGGAAAGAAGCCGAAGTACCCACCCAACAAAGGTGAGCTCCAGGGAGGGACCCTGCAAACATCTTGGCCTGTGTGACACTGCCCAGAGCTCCCAAACCCACCGCCCTGGGCTGGCATCGGGTGTCCTGAAGGGTGAGGGGGATGTTGCAGCAGCTTTAAGTCACCGTAGTGCAGGGAGTCACACCACTGCTGTGGCAGCAGGAACAGGCTGGTACCTGCAGTGACAGGTCTCAGAGACCCCCTGACCTTCTCATGGTGAGCTTTGCAAGGAGGCTCCGTCCCAGCAGCCTGAGGGGGAACCTCCCTGGCTGGAAAGATTTGTAAGAAAATATGCTACTTTTTTCCAACTGCTGCATTTTTTCTTTGATAACCTTCAGAGCAAACAAAAAAAAAAGCTGCTTTTCTTTAGAAAGTTGTATTTTTATTGTCATTTTTTGTGGTTGGAGTTTGCAGCTCCTGCCTGCTCGAGGGGGTTGATATGTGGTGGCTCAAGACCTGGTTTGCAGGGTGTCCCATCTGCTCAGCCATGGGGTGCCCCTCTTGGTCAGCCTTCTGGGGAACTGGAAGTTGTTATCAGGGAGACAGTGTGGATCTTTGGATCTGCCTTCATGGTTTAACACAACCTCTGCACTGTTCTAGTCATGATCTGGGATGACCTGAAGAAGAAGACTGTCATTGAGATTGAGTTTTCTACAGAAGTCAAAGCAGTGAAGCTGCGAAGGGACAGGTGGGTGAAACAGGGGTCCAAAAGCTAAGGGTGGCTTTGTGCTCTTGTTTCCAGCTGCTTGTAGAGAGAAAAAGATCCTGCTGTAGCCTCAGCAATTACAGGTGAAACAGGCTTTTGGGGCAAGTGTTGGGTGTAAACAGATCACAGGCTGAGTATACTGGGATGTGAAACCTTGGTGAAAAGCCTGTGAGACTTCCCAGCCCCCTAATGCAGGGAAATGTTCTCCTGTGGCTCCTGCTGGCTGCTTTTCTGGGTCTGGAGGAGTGTGAAGGGAATTCCTGCAGCTCCCTGGAGCAGGAGCAGCTGTGAACAGCTGGAGCCTGTGTGTGCGTGGGCGGAGGGGCTGGATAAAAGTCCTTATGGCTTATCCTTGTGTGGGTTTTGCAAGGCTGGGAGTCTGTTGCGGGGGAGGGCAGGAAGAACATGGCTGTTAAATCACTCGAAAGCCTTTGCAGTCTGAATGAATGTCTGTGTCCCTGTTTTACCCACCCCAAGTCCCAGGAACTTCTGCTCTGTTTCAGAATTGTGGTCGTCTTGGACTCGATGATTAAAGTTTTCACGTTCACACACAATCCCCACCAGCTGCACGTCTTTGAAACCTGCTACAACCCTAAAGGTTAGTTCTACACGTGGGCTGGGGGATGGAAACAAGTTTATTCTGTTCTTGACGTGCCATTTATCTTCAGCTGCCTCACTCAGTTCTTCAGAAGTCATTAAACACTTGCTGCACTGCAGTTGTGCCCTTTGGAGATGCTTTTGTTTATAAAATGGTTATTAGAATTTATAAAGACTTGGCCCAGAAAAGCTGTTTCCTGCACTCATGTTACAGATGTGATTTCTATAAGAGCAACACACTTCCTTCTGTAAAGAACATGGGAACTGGATGTATTTTGTGCTGAAAGCTTAATGATAAACACAAAGTGCATCATTGCAAACACTTTGACAGTGCCACACCATGGAACAAGGGCTGCTGGCCGTGCTCAATGGATGGGGAGGATCAGCTTGGACGTCAGGAGGGTTTCTTCTCCACCAGGAGGTTATTTGGGATTGGGAGTCCCCATCTTTGGGACTCTGGAGCAAACATGGAATGCAGCTCCAGCCCCCTGACTGACTGTGACAGGCAGGGGATGCAGGAGAAGGAGGTTGTTTGTTGTGCTGAAGTTGCAGGAATTCATTTGGCATCAGCAGAACATGTGGGATTGGTGTGATTTACCTTAAATGGGCCACAAAATATTACAAAGGAAAAAGTGCCAGTGCTGTAAGAACCAAGTTCAAACAGGAATTACTAATAATCATCAGGCTGGAGCAGAAACTCAGATATCACCTCTGATAAACTCTTACCCTTTCTGAGCCACTAAGGAGACTTAATAACTTCTTTTTTAAATGGCTTTGATGTGATGGACTGATGGAGCTGATCTCTGAAAACACCCACATTCTGGATAACCACAGCTAGAAAACCTTGAAATAAAGTGATAGGAGCAAGTTAAAATTATGCTACTCCCCTGCTTTGCTGTGCTCTGCACTAATGGATGGGTCATGTTTTGGGATCCTGCACCAGCCACTCAGATGAGATTCTGATTTGCTCCATGTCTGTTTGCTTATTGTGAAATTACTGGTATTTTAGAAACTTACATTTGAAAACATTGGTTTATGGAAATGATCCAGTTATTCTCTTTTTTTTTTTTTTTGTGTGTGTGTCTTTCAGGTCTCTGTGTCCTTTGTCCAAATAGTAATAATTCTCTTCTTGCATTTCCTGGGACACACACTGGGCACGTGCAGATCGTGGATTTGGCCAACACGGAGAAGCCTCCCGTGGACATCCCAGCCCACGAAGGAGTCTTGAGCTGTATTGCTTTAAACCTGCAGGGAACAAGAATTGCAACAGCATCAGAAAAAGTAAGAGTGATGTCCCTGCCTCTGACCTACTGTGTGTTCCAGTGTCACAAACAGGAAGTCACATCCTTCGTAGGAAAGACAGAGAAACACCTACCGGGGAAATTTGTCACTGGAATGTGCATTCCCTTCATCTTCACTGCCCCTCTGGGATCCCCAGACACCAACAGCCAAGGGCTGTGCCTGAGGTAGTGCTTATGTTTTAGCTGACTGGAGCAGTGACTCTTCAGTGACAGAAGCCTGGCCCAAGCAGCTCACAGCTTTCATGTGTTCTTCAACAGATACTGTTAATTTTTTAAAAAAGCAGGGGGAGAATCTTATTTGTATTCATTCACCTTTATTATTTTCTGCTTAAACTCACTTCACACCCACTGGCTAAAGAAATGCTTGCAGATAGGTCTGTCCTGCCAGAGGGCTTTGTTCTGCCAGGGCTTAACCCCTGGTGCAGAGCAGGAGGGGGTGGCTGCCCCCCTCCTTCTGAAATGGTGTGTGCACCCCTGTGGGACTAAAGAGCACAACACACTGACAAAAACCTCAGGTTAGGGTGCAGCTCAAATGGTGACAGACCTGCCCTCTCCCTGGGAACCCCTGGGAGGGCTGCCAGGGCCCTTCATCTCCTAAAGGGATGTCAGGCAGATGGACCCATCTCCCTGAGGCAAGAGGAGCACTCGCTGCCTTCTTCCACTCAAATGAAAGGAGTTTCTCAAGGAAAAACCAAATGAATCCAACAAGTCTCTCCTTTGAACAGTTTCTACTGCCCAGCCTGTCACTCAACCAAGTTAAAAAAAGAAAATGCAGCCACAGTCTCTCCTAACTAAGCTTAATGGCTGTGTGTCTTCTAAACACAGTTCTTAAAGCTGCCAACTCCATTGCTGAGTAGACTCATTATCTGCTGCATTTGTTTTGTACAGAGAAAAAAAGTTCAAACAGCTTTTATTTTCCAACCAAACTAGGGAGTCTGAGCACAGTCAGCAAACATCCCAAGCCTGTCTCTTAAATCAAAACTAAGCTGAGTTTACCAAATCTTTCTCTGCTGGGTTCTGTTACCTCCTGGTGTGTGACTGGAGAGCTGAGCTGTTAACCAGGCATATAACAGGACTGCAGGTGATGATGGACAGCCTCTGAATTAATTCAAAGACAAGTCAGCCACAGCCTGATTATAATTTGTGGGAAAGAATTGCACAGTAGCACTGAAAATGGCAGCACTGACTGAGGGAGCAAGGCAGAAGTGAGTCCCAGAGCCTGGGCACACTCCAGGGTCTGCCAACCAGGGCCAGGGCTGTGCTGGTGCTTTAGAACAGAGCTGAAAGAAACTTGTGAGTTGAGGAGCCAAGTGCCAAGGTTGTGCACCACAGCACTGTAACACTGTGGAGCTGGTGTGGGGGCAATCAATGTTCTTCCCCAAAGTTAAAACAGGTTCTCAAATCTAGCAAGAAGAAAACCCCCAGAGGTGTGTGCAGGGACATATTGGTCAGACAGACAGAGTTTTAGGCTGCATTCACAGATGTAAAGAGAATCTTCTGCCCTTCCTAATACAAGGCTTGATTCCTTTTCAAGGGGACCCTTATAAGGATATTTGATACTTCATCAGGGCATTTAATCCAGGAGCTACGTCGAGGATCACAGGCAGCCAACATATACTGGTATGTCCAATGTACTGGGATGTTCAGGTGCTGTGCTGAGCACAGATGTGCTTCCTGGGCACACAGAGCCCTCCTGGCACTCACAGGGCCCAGGGCTGCTCTGGGCTCACTGCTGGGAGGTGTGTGGAGCCTGGCACAGGGGCTGGGACAGAACCGTGTGTGGTGCCAGGCTGTGCCTCTGCCCAGCACAGGTGGGAGCTGGGGATGCTGAACTTACACCAACTCTGGGAGGGCCCTGATGCACTTGAACACTGCCCAGGGACTGGAGAGCTTGGGGCAGGGTGGGGCTTCACATCCTGCTGTGAGGGGAGTGCCCAGGACAGAGGTGTGACTCTGCCAGGAGCAGGGAAACTCCCCCTCCTCTTCCAAGCCCCATCTGGGGTAGGAATGTTACACATTTTGCCCACTCCTTGGAGCAGAGCTCCTTTTCTTCCAGAAGTGTCAGAGTGGCCCACACCCATGGTGTCCATGTCAGGGTCCTGCTGCTCCTGCCACTCCAGACCCTGTTCCAGTGCAGGCTGTTCATCCCAAGGCAGCCCTGGATTGGGGGATTTGGGCTGTTC